AACATCTTTCGATGTGATTGTAATTTGAAAAGACACAGCCTTTGCATGGAGTAGCAGTAAAAACCAAAGATCTTCCGATATTTTAAAGTGTTAATTTTTAATTTGTAATGTGATGTTTTCGTTCCTTTACACCTATATGTTCAACGAGAAGACTCTTTGTACAAACCTGACGAAGTGAGTAAATCTACTTTCTTTAGTAATTATTTTCTTTCTTTTTGAATATTTTAAATTAATTTATATTAAATTTTCCAAGATTTTCATATAATTTTCAAAAAATTTCAAAAAAAAAAAAATAAAAGAAAATTTCAAATTTTCCAAAATTTCCAAACTTTCATAAATTTTTCCAGTATCTTCAGAAAGTGTTTTTCCTTACTTTCAGGTTGCACTGATGATGGCCACGGCCGAAAGCGCTTTGCACTGATATTTATTAAAGAATTTTGCACGAAATACAAACTTTTTCATTCTTCATTATTTTTAAAACATTTATATTTTTCCAGCCCAAGCGTTTAATTTTGAGTACCTGAAATTATCGGAAGTTTATAGATACAATGGAAGGATCGCCCCTTGTGCCTGCTGGGGTTGCGTGCCGATTTCTTACCTGAACTTTTATGACTGTCGGGGTTGTTTTCGTGAGTTTTGTGTAAATAAGTGGTATATTGCAGCTATAGATGACCGAATGTGTTTATAAAGCCGGGTTCTCACTAGGCCATTTCATGGATCAGTATTATTGAATCTATAGGATTGAGCATAGAATGGAATGGAAAATTTGTTCACATTTTCCAATAACATTGAAGATCTATACCTTTTCAACTTCAAATTGGGACTAAGCAACTTTAAATACAATATCAAAATGGGAATTAACAAAATCAAATTGGAACTAATCATTTTTAATTTGGTACTAATCAACTTCAAATTGCGACTAATTTTTAATTTGATTAATTTGATTTGGGAAGAAACAAATGCAAATTGGGAATAGACCTATTCGATTTAGGTATTAATATAAATGAAAGATTGCTTGTGTAGAAAATCAATATACATTAATGAAAAAGGGACTTTGAACAGTAATGAAATGAGATTTTGATAAAGTTTGTGAGGCTTTCGCGGTCCATGTTTATCGATGAAATGTTTTCATTCGGGCTTAATGACCGTCCTAACTTGAAATTTCTTCCTGAATTATGACGTTTCGCTAGCACGCGTGGCTAGCATCTTCAGAGGTGCTTCCATGTCCGATTCTGGTAGCAGTCTGCAGACGTCAGAAAGAGATTCCAACTTACGACACCCATTGAGCCCGAATGAAAACATTTCATCAAAATGAGATTTTGTTCAAAAATTTCCTTTATTTCAGCGTAATAACAGCATTTTCCTTTATGTATCCAGTCATTTATACCTTATGTTTGCTTTTCTTTGTCCCCCACGTTTGCTTCTAACAACTTCTTGGGTACCTACTAAGCTGTAGATTTTTTTATACCCAGTGTGTTAGCCAATCCTCTTCAGTCGCCTTTGTTATTAAAAACAGCTTTTTGCTTTTTAGCATTTTCTGCATCAGGTACTTTAATGTAAGGCATTTTGTTAATTTAAATTACGGTTCAAAAGTAACTGCCGCTCGACTTGCAAAACTTTGGAATTTATTCAACAATTCCAATTTGAAGTTGATTAGTACCAAATTAAAATTGTTTATTTCCAATTTGACTTTATTTATTCCCATTTTGAACGTGTTAGTTACCAATTAAAAGTTGATTAATCCCAATTTGAAATTGCTACGTTCCAAATTGAAATTGATTGATCCCAATTTGAAGTTGAAAAGGTATAGTGTGTTTTAAAAATGGCCGCAAAAAGGAAAACTCTGCGTGCCGGTGTGCCTATTTTCTGTGAGTATTTAAAAACCGCGATAAAAAACAGGAAAAATAGAAAACTTCGTCGATGGTGGGTTAGACCATGGATAAAACAACGTATATATGAAGGTGCTTCTGTGAAGCTGATAGAAGAATGAGGAACAGGTGACCAGGATGCTTATAGGAACCACTCAAGAATGACCGAAGAGAAATTTGAAGAACTTCTACAGAAAGTGTCACCCTTGATACAGAAAAAAAATCCTCCATTAAGGGACGCTCTTTCAGCAAGATTCAAATTACAAGTAGTTTTAGGATATTTAGCTACTAAAGATTCTTTTCCGTCTTTGGGTGCACTGTACCGACTGCCCAAAAACACTATCTCACAAAAATTTTAAATAACGAGCTGTTCGGTTTTGATTCTAACCTCAAAATAGTCAAAATAGACACGCCGGCAATTCAATGCGGCTGAACACGCTCGTTCTCACGGTCAATTACCGTTCAATTTAATTGAATCAATCCCGTTGATCCATTAAAAGTAGAAATGCCTCCCAATTTGATTGAAACACAAAATCATTGAGCAATATCATTGAATGGATGTTCACATTAGTCTATTTTACTTCAATGGCATAGATTCAATGATATTGATCTATGCAATGGCCTAGTGAGAACCCCGCTTAATAGTTTTTATATGTAAGATAAACAGATGAGGATTTGTTTACTTGAGAAAGGGTTTGTAATTCTTTGTCTTTTCGATGTGAGTCAGTTCAGTTCCTCTAGTTAGTTCTATGTTCTATGATTTCACACGCTCTGCTTTCCACGTTGTGTTCGATATAATAAATATATTGGGAATCGATAATTATTAACAAGCTCTTTTATTTCTTAGTCCATTTCCCAATATTTGCCTCCACAACAGTGATTACGTGACTGATGTCAAAATGTACTTCCAGGTTTTCGGACATGCAGGATCGATCGCACATAAGAAAAAATTCCATATCCTACAAATAAAAAAATTCCCCATATGTAGCGAACATTATGGGGGACACCGTATAAATTATTTCTCAAATATCAAGTAGTATATTCGCAAGCTGATTACTGTAGGTATAAATTAGTCACTGACTAGCTTAACTCTTCTACTTTTACATAGCTCTTGCAATAATTTTATTGTGAAAATGGGGCGTTCTAGAGCATCGTCAACCGAAAGTTGTACAGTAGTACCAGTAGCTCTAGTTCCGACAACGGTAACTATAAATGAAAAAAGGGAATTAAAAATAGTTCAACTGCTAGTACCGGGTGTCCAAATAAGAAAGGTCGCCGGCTATATCTCAGGAACTATTAGTCCTAGAGCTTCCAAGTAATTTTTTTTTTATAAAATAGGCCATAAAAAATTGCTGGAAATAGTTTTCAAGTTTGTAAGTTGACCGCTAGGGGGCGCAACGAACACTCGAAAACATAATACTGTGATTATCTTCAAAAAACGCCCACTTTTCACTCAAAGAAAATGATAGGTCAAATCAACCAAAAAGAGCATATGAAAATGCGCAAATCAACAAAATAGAGTGTATAATGACAATTATTCATGCTCAGTAACAATTATTCAGTTGAGTAACTGAATAATTGTTCAGTATCCAAAATTTTTTGTTATAGAAACAAAATAGAAGGTACAACCAATCATTCAGTTGATAAACTATTTTTTGTTTGCTGTATCATTATATGGTACCTTAACATTTTTTTTTAGTTGTTCAAACTTATTTGTGTCCATCTACTTGTAGGCAGGTAATTTCGTCGAATTAAAACACAGTGTTCAAAGTAGCGGTATTTATTTTTGAAATGACACATCAACAATAATTATCTTGTTGTTTTCTTTTTATAAGGCGTGTTTGATGCAAGGTGGCAACAGTGAGTGGATTGATAAGGTATAAGGACATGATAGTTGCATGTCATCTTTACTACATGGAGAATCTGTAAACAAAAATAGGTTTAAAATAAGTAGGTACATCGTAAAAAAACAGAATATTGAAATTTTACCTTCGGGATTCACTTTGTTTAACCCAGTTTTAGAAGATTTATGTTCTGTTTATATTTTACTTTTTCGTTGAATACCGCTATCGGTACTGCCAGATTTCTAAAGTGGCTCCATTTTGATACTAAATTGTATGATTTTCCCTTATGTTCGAAAAATCTAGTTGTATCTATAAGAAAAGTAGGCACTTGTTAGATATTTTATTGAATGATATCAACATAAATATTTTTTCTTACCAAATTAGTAGATAGATTCTTAAGCGAATCTGTGAATTTCTCTTGAAAGCTATCCACCCTGATTTACCCTTCGGGTCCGACCACTCCGAACACTCCTAACGAATCATTCACTAATCATCAGTGATTAATCTTGATTAATACCAATGGACGCGTTGTTTTAAAAACGTAAATATGGAGCAAGTCCGTATTCCGTAAGGTTTCACCTATTTGTCTTGTGTCTGCACTAGACGAGGGCGATATACCTACTGGTCTGGATCCGACCACGGCAAGGAAAAACGATATAAATTTCAAATTTTGTATGCAATAATAGGTAAAGTCAACAAAAAAAAAAGCATTTTGGACAATAATTTTGTAGATGTAGCAAATTAGAGGGTTGACTTTAAATAAAATTTTGTTAGTTAACAAATTTCTTTGGTAACTTAACAACATTGTGGTTCAAATCTACCATTAAGTAATGGTTAAAAGCAATTTAAACAATTTCTAGTTTGATTTGATGAAGCCGTTTAACAAAAAAACTGTTAGTGAACTAAATAATTGTTATATTTGACTAAAATATCATTGTCACTAAACAATTAAAATTGGTTAAATATCCCATGCATTAATAGGTGAAAATTTATCAAACATTTACTGGTTTGGTTTGACAAACTTTAACAAAAAACTGTTAGTGAACTAAATTATAGTTCAATTTTCCCAAAATATTATAGTCACTTTTAACAATTAAATTTGTTAAATATACCATCCAATAATGGGTAAAACTGAATTAAACATTTTTTGGTATCGATTGATAAAATTTAACAAAAATCCTGGTTAGTGAGCAAAACAATAGTTATAAATAATATCTATTTTTTAAGTGTAGTAAGGAGGGGTTTTTACTACGGATTGTTGCAGAGGAAAATAATCGATGAACACAACTAATTTAAATAGACTTTAATAATCATAATTGGGAGCAAAAACTAATTAACATAACTTAATAATGCACGTTTTCGTTCTGGAATCTAATAGAATGTCCGCGCCAAAAACTGGCATTGACATTGTCACCTTTTACGGGATGTCACTTCTGTCATCACCGAGAGCAGTGTTGCCAAATCAAAAATAAGACGGTAAAGAAGAGAACTGTAAATTGGCGCGCGAAATTCAAATTTAAATGCTACAACTTCGGCTAGCCTGACATAAGATCGTCCCGATCTAAACCGTAAAGAATATAATGAAAATACAATAAAAATGTAATTAAATAATATCATAAGCAAAATATGGTAAACTTCATAATATATAAAAGATCATAATAATTCATAATGGTTTGTAAATGATAACAAACGAGTCATAAATTTCATAATAGGCATAAATAATATAAATGGACATAGTCATAAAGGATTCATAAACATAATAGTAATCACATAACATAATGAAAATTTGTCCAATTCATAATACATATTCCAAAAGTTTTCATAAGTTCAATTGTATCTAGAAATATAAATACAAAGTTTAATAAGCATCATAATTCATAATACATAATATTTTCTTAAAAAATGGGTTAAACATAAGACATAATCAAAAGAAATCAAAGTTGTAAGTAAACATAAGTATATAGATAAAACATATTATCCACATAAACTAAATGAAGTACATAAGTGATTGTACACATAAAGGTAAGTTGAACATATACATAAAAGGTAAGTTTGTATTAATATCATTAATGTAACCATAACTTCATATTCCCGGGGCTAGAGACTCCTTCGAATGGTCTCTGGGTTATTTGAAAGTTATCAACATCTGTAATTAGATACCAATCATTTTCTAAAACTTTCTTAACCTCGTAAGGCCCACGATACTTAGGAATTAACTTCTTATTAACACCTGGGGTTACGTCAGTATTTTTAATCATAATGTAGTCGCCAGTTTTATATTTATAAGGGGGTTTATGCTTTTTGTCAAAATATTGTTTATTGTACTCTTGTACCTTAGCATTCTGGCGCTGTGCGTCTTGCCTAATTTGTTCTAAGTCTCTGTCATAAGGAGTTTCGGAATCTAAAAAGTCTCTAAGTTCATCTTGGTCTCTTTGGTTTACACCAAACAATAGCATGGAAGGGGTATTAGCAATAGATCGGCAATAAGAATTATTTATAGCAAACTCGACTTCAGGCAAATATTTGGGCCATTTATTTTTAACTTCAACTAACTTTGACAACATAGGGGTCAAATCTCTATTAATTCGCTCAATCTGACCGTTTGATTGTGGGGAACTTGTGGCAATCTTAACATGTATAATATTGTTTTTAGTCATAAAACTTTCAAATTCTAAGGACGTAAAAGCAGTTCCTCGGTCTGACACAATTCTTAAAGGGCGGCTATAATTTTTAAAATATTCTTCTAACTTATGAATTACTTCGATGGTTTTAGTGGTTTTTACATCGTAAAGCTTGACAAATTTTGTAAAACCATCTATTATCTCAAAAACGAATTTTTTATTTGTAGGAGACTTTTCTAATGGACCATAATGATCAATGTGGAGGGTCAAAAATGGTTTGTCACCTTTAGGGATACCATGTAAAACACCTTCTGCCCTTTTTGCTGAATAAGATATACATTTAATACAATTTTGTATATATTCTTTAACCTTAAGATTTAAGTTTGGAAACCAATAAACTCTAGAAATGTATTCTGTGGTTTTGTCTATCCCTAAATGTCCTAACATGTCGTGGCAGTGAAAAATGACTTTATTCTCCATGGAACTTGGTACATAAAAAAGGGTTTTTGTCCTATCCTTGAATTTGCGGTAAACCAGACCATTTTTCAACTCAAAATGTTTATCTTCTCCTACTAAAAGTTTGTCTCTAATAATCTTAATGTTAGAATCTAAGTTTTGAGCAATAGAAAGGTTTTGTTCAAAAGTGTTTTCCTCCAAAATCAGAACACTATTTGCACGACTAAGGGCATCGACATGCTTCATGCGGTTGCCTTCTCTGTGTTCCAAAACATAATTATAATTCTGAAGGATTAAAGCCCATCTATTAATTCGACGGTTAATTTCCTTTTCATTTAAGGCTAATTTTATGGAATTACAGTCCGTTAAAATCTTAAAGTTTGGCATACCTTGTAAATAAACTCTGAATCTTTCAAGGGCGTTCACAATGGCAAGCATTTCTAGTTCGTAACTATGCATTTTAGATTCTGGTTCTGATGTTCTTTTGCTAAAATAAAATACAGGTTGCAAAAGATTATTTTTTTGCCTTTGCAAAAGTATAGCACCGTAACCGACAGAGCTTGCGTCACAATGCAATTTAGTTTCCAAGGTGGGCGAAAAAATGGCAAGAATAGGGGCGTTAATTAATTTGGTTTTCAGAATATTGAAGGCCTCTAACTGGCTGGGGCCAAACTCAAAACATTTTTCTTTTCTCACTAAATCATAGAGAGGTTTGGCTAAAACAGAAAATGAGGGTATGAATCTTCTAAAATAAGAGGCCAATCCTAAAAATTGCTGAACTTTCCTGGTACTAGAAGGAATTGGGTAATCTAGTAAAGCTTGTACCTGTTGGGGATTTGGCCTAATCCCATTACAATCTATGATATAGCCTAAATATAGTATTTTGGATTGTAAAAAAGAACATATACTTATTCGTAACTCGAGTAAATTTCTAGTTAGCAGGGAAAAAACTTCTGAAAGGATACTTAAGTGAGTTTCTATATTAGTTGTCGCTATCAAAATGTCATCTAAATAAATTAATATTTTTCCTTGTCTAATTAAGTCCTTAAAAATTCTGTTTATAAACCTCATAAAAACAGAGGGTGAATTGGATAGACCAAAAGGCATTTTGAGGTATTCGAACTGACCAAGTGGGCAAATAAAGCTAGTGTATTTCACTGAGTCAGTAGCTACTTTAACCTGGTGGAATGAATTTTTCAAATCTAAGGAGGTAAAATAATTTTTATTCTTTAAAAGGTCTAATTGGTCGTCGATGAGAGGGATTGGATAATTGTCTCTAATGATAATTTGATTAATTACTCGATAATCTACACAAAGTCTTTTTGTGCCATTCTTTTTATTTACCATAACTATTGGGCTGCAATAAGGCGAATTACTTTCCCTAATAACTTCTTTGACTAACAAATCATCAATGATATTTTGTAATTCTAATTTCTCATCATAAGCTAACTTTCTTGGCCTAAATGAAATTGGTTGGTCATGCTTCACGGAAATATTCATTTCAAAGTCAATCTGAGGTTGCTGGGGCCTATCAGCATTGAAATATTCATCAAACAGAAGAGTTTCAACTTTATTAATCATTTTAGGACCCAAATCTAAATTTATGTCTAAATTCAATAAATCATTCTGGTCATAATCAATTAAAAGTAGTTCATTAAAGGCAGGATTATTATCAGGTTCACGAACAGTTTCAGTGTTGGGAGTGAAATTCCTTTCAATTAAAATATTATCAGTTAATAATGTGATTTTAAGGTTAGACAAATTGGTAAAATCTCTACCGATCAATGCATTAAAGGACATAGTTTCATCAGAGACTACGTAGAACGTTATGGGTACATTAACTTTATTTACAAAAACAATCCCATTGAAAACACCAAAAATATTCAAGTTAGTACCATTAATGCCATAAGATTTTTGCTTACAATCAAAATCTCTTGAAATACATAAATCGGGTAAAAAATTCTTTTTTACTAGGCTTATCGGACTTCCAGTATCCAACATTGCTTTTAAATAAATACTATTTGAAATATTAGCAGTATTAAATTCCAAAATAAGGTCAAGTTCATACACTTTACATAAATTTGTTACCTGAGGAGTCAAATCTTGCATTGGTTCTTGAACCATACAATTACCATGGCTAGCAGGATCAATAATCATTGTAGAAGTAGAGTCAATGGCTGCTGACTGTGCAGGCTTCTTCAAGGGACAATTTTTAACTTGATGGTCTCTTCTTCCACAAGTGAAGCAAGAACCTCTTTCTCGCTTTGGCTTGGGGCAGGCATCCATACAATGGCCTGTTTCAAAGCAATTAAAGCACCTCCGTTGTCTGGGACTAATGCCACTAGCAGAACCAATATTATTCGAGTGTGTCACACCAACATTCGAACTTGGACCATTTCTTGCATTTCTACCAGTCATATTTGGGTTTTGGACAGCAGTTGGGTGAGGGTGGTTTCTTTCAGTTTGGTTTACATTGCACATAATACGTAATAGTTCGTCTAAGCTTTGGAAATCTTTCATTCGGGCCTGAGATTTCAGTGATTCGTTTGTAAACCCATCAATAACATAGTCAATAAGATCTGACTCTGATAGGTTTAGGCTGTTTCCTAACATAATCTTATTATGAAAATACACAGAAAATTTCTCACCCCTTTTCCACTCTCTTTGTTCGAACTGTCTCATACGTGCAACTTTATCCGGACGTGAGGCAAACATTTTCCTAAGTTCCACCTTTAATTCGTTCCAATCCAACAAAACTAGATCGGTTTTTGAATGGTACCATAACTTGGCTTGCCCAGTGAATTTTCCAACTGCTATAAGGGTCATTATTTTCGAATCAACATTATAGGTACATTCCACAGCTTCCACTCGTTGGAGCCATGTTTCAATATCTTGGCCAATGCCACTAAAATCAGGTAATAGCATAGCAATTTCATCATTCTTATATATTTTATGTTGCTGTAATGGCTGGGGAGGGGCTTGTGGCAAAGAAGCCCTAGATCCACCTAATCTTTCATATGAAATCATTGCCCTAACGGTGGCTTGGACGATTTCATCAATTGTTGCAGCAGGAGAACGATCATGCTGCTGGTCGTGGGAATCATGAAAATGATTGGGGCTGTTGTGGTCCTGGTCGGACTCACCATCATTTATTCCATCCATACTGGCTTGGCTAACACAAAATTCACTAATTTTAATCACGATTTTTCCTTGCAACCCCACACCTGAACTGTAGTAAGGAGGGGTTTTTACTACGGATTGTTGCAGAGGAAAATAATCGATGAACACAACTAATTTAAATAGACTTTAATAATCATAATTGGGAGCAAAAACTAATTACCATAACTTAATAATGCACGTTTTCGTTCTGGAATCTTATAGAATGTCCGCGCCAAAAACTGGCATTGACATTGTCACTTTTTGCGGGATGTCACTTCTGTCATCACCGAGAGCAGTGTTGCCAAATCAAAAATAAGACGGTAAAGAAGAGAACTGTAAATTGGCGCGCGAAATTCAAATTTAAATGCTACATAAGGTTAATCAAGTTTTGTGCCGCAAAAATTTTTTATTAGTAGAAATAACTTTCAAGCTCTGATTAAATTAAACAGATTGTAGTTTCATTTGACAATATCATCGGATTAGTTATTCAACAATTTTTTTTTGTTGAATCAACCCATGTAATTTTTCTGAGTGAAGGTATCCTAAAAATATGATTATTGAAATCTTGATAAGATTACGAAAAAAAATTATTAAGGATTTT